TCGAAACTGCGTCACGTACAATTACTCCTTCATTCCATAAATCTTTTAGCTCATCCACAAGGGGCCTTAAAAAGACATCCATATCCTTTCCGGGTGCATTTGGGCCAAGAATCAACAATGTCAACATCTTATAAGGATCCTTAGTGCATAACTACGGAGGTAAATTGTAGGCCGTTAAAACCACCGGCCACATACTGTATGAGAGGCTCATGTTCCCGAAAGGATTAAAACCATCAGCGACCAACCCCAAGCGAACATTTCTCGGCTCACGTGAAAACTCAGGATACTTTTCATCTACCTCCTTCCATTTAATACCATCGACTGGATGACGCATTAAATCCTCATCATTTGAACACCCACGCTGGTGTCACGTCATATCTTTAGCTGTGTGACGAGAACCGTACAGACGCTTCAACCGATCTGTTAACGGAAAATAACGTAGTACTTTACACGGGACTTGTTTAGTACCCTTTGTCTTTTTTTTTCTTCCAACGGGATGTTTTACATACAGGACACGTTTGTAGATCAGCGGTCTCCTTCCAAAACAAAGCACAATCGTACTTGCAGACATGAATTGTTTCGTAACCCAATCCAAGTTTACTCATGAGTTTCTTCAACTCATAATGAGAAAAAGGTAACTTCACATCCAGAAATGCATCTTTCAATAGACTTAAGACAGCATCCATACACTCATTAGGCCACTTGTATAACACTTTTAAATGCATCAATTTCACTAAGAAATTTAAACATGAATACTTAGTGCAGCCCGGATACAATCCCACCTGGAGCTCAGAAAGTAGATCCTTAAATTCAGCGTACTGTGCATCTTCTAGATCTACATGCGTCTCATCCAACATTCCATGGTCATCATTAATCCCAGCAACGTCTTCTAAGACTGCAAACATCTCGTCTACTGGTTGATTAACTATTGGGTCTACACCTGAAACCACTTCTACTTCACCATAGTGAATCCATGTTCTATACAATGGATCAAAATCAAATCGATGTATATGTGCTATCACAGTTTCTATTGGATGTATTTCATGGTTTCTACATTTCATACAAGGACAACTGATATGGCCAATTGAAGTTGTATAATTTTTGGCGACCTCAATAAAAGTTGATAACCCATTCCAATATTCATCCGACAATCGGTTCCTCAAATAAGTCCAACTTTTGTCAATCGGCATTTCAACTATAAACAACAACAGACACAACAATTTATTAATGTGTTTAATTAATTTTAATTTTACTCTTAATTAACACAATTAAGTTTTATTAATTAAAGCGTGTTAATGAACTTATTAAAATTCTGGTTTTCTAACTAAATTTTGGCAGCATAACGACTTATTTTTCATATAATCCAAAAATCAAAACCTACAGAAAAATAACTTTAAAAGATTTCGGCACACCATAGCTGCAAGATGTGCCACCCAGAACAAGAATCATAAACATATACTAAATTTCAACAATATAACAAAAGCATAATTCAAATATTGTCATCATAATCCCGAATTCATACAACTACTACAATTTTAAACTAAATAAATATAAAAAACTTACAAAGTTCAAACCCACTAAACGGGGGCTGAAAATAGAAGGATTACGTCGGAGGAACCGTGCAAACAAGGACGAAGGCGAAAAATCAAACGCCTACATCAAATTAAAACATCAAACATAATTTTCAAACACCAAAATTAACATCTAGAGTAACATATAGACACAATGAGAGTTTAAAAAAATATTATGGGCTTGATCCGCTTGTATATAAAAAAGGGCTACAGTAAAAAAAAACGCAAAAAAGAATGAATACTTTACTTTTTTATAGTTTTAAATTTGATACACAAACAAATTAATTGCTTATTCATAAAAAGTTTTGCATTAAGATTAATATTAAATGTTCTCATATGTCTCTCACATTGATATTCAATGAGAGTTTAATCTCAACAGAATTGTTACTAATTAATAAGTCATATGTTGATCTATATGATGCATATAAATAAAAAATATTGATCAATAAACTTAAATTTAAATTAACGAATATGAAAATTTAAGCAATCACTCAAAAATATACGAAGATAATTATCTAAAGTCCGGTCTAATTTGACGAAGCTTAATAATTTATGAAAGGCTACGACTACAAATTCTATAGAAAAAAAATGTTATGCTCTTCATGCTCGAATCTAATACTAAGTATAATCTAGTTCTAAGTATAATGCTTAAGAAATGATTCTAAGTTCTAAGTATAATCTAGTTATAATAACAAGTTATTACCAGAATTGTTTTAAAAAAAAAAAAAAAAAAAACTCACCTCTATGCAATCCTGGCAGGGGCAGGGTGGCGGGAGCAGGGCAGCGGGAGCGGGGCAGCAGTGCGGCGGCGGCGGCAGGAAAGGGAAAGAAGAGAGAGAGAGAGAAGGGAAGAGAAAGAAAGACCAGAAGAGAGACAAGGGGAGAGAGGGAAGGGGAGGGCCGGTGGCGGCGGAAGGAGAGGGGAAGAAGAGAGATTCGCTCGGAAGAGAGAGAAAGAAAGAAGGGAAGAGAGAGAGAAGGAGAGGCCGGCGGTGGGGGCGGCAGCAGCGGCGACAGGAAGAGGAGGCTACGACTGAGATATTGCAGGAGAGAGAGAAAGAGATTTTGCAAGAGAGAGAGAGAGAGAGCGTCGGGAGAAAATGAAGAAGAAGAAGATGGGTATATTAGGTCAGAGTTATTTGCGACGACATATTCGTCGTAAATAAATTTAAAATATCGTCGCTAATACTAAAATATTTACGACGACATTGTCGTCGCAAATTAATATAAATGTCGTCGCAAATACTAAAATATTTGCGACGATATTTTCTTGCCGCAAATATTTTAAAGTTGTCGCAACTAATGATTTTTTCCCGCACCTACTTTATCGTCAAATAAGATTATTTACGACGACAGTAAAACAATGTCGTCGCAAATAAGGTAAAACTATTTGCGACGATAAATGTCATCACAAATAGTGATGACTTGTCATCGCAAAAAAACGGATTACCTTGGCGCCAATAATCCGCGCCATTGAAATTTGCGCGCCAATATTATTTGCGACGACATTGAAGTTATTAGCGACGACATGGTTATTTTATTTAACGGTAGGTATTTGCGACGACATGGAGTATTATTTGTGACGACATTTGTTGTCGCAAATGGGCTTAATTGTTGTAGTGATTGTCCGGTGAACTAGAACTACACCTTTCCTCTATCACAGAAAACGACCACAAAAAGAACTCGAGAAAGGAAAGGAAAGGAAAACGAGAGAGAAGATATGTGTGCTGCAACTTGTTGGGTGCTCTCATTCATGTGTTACACGTCTTATATAGGCTCTTAAAACAGGGGTTATGAGACAAGGAATTATGGGACTTAATCACACAATTATGGTCCAATCTTTATGGTGCAAAACCATGCTCTTTCCTCAGAGATGAATCCGGCCACAACCATAGCTAGGTTCAGATTTTAAGAAGAAAAATTAAAGTCATAACTAACCATTAAGCTGGCCATTATCTCACAATAAAGCTCGGCCATTAAACTAGCCATTAAGCCCCTTTAATCACCATTATGCAAGCCAATTTCGGTTTTGGCCGGAATGTGAAAGGTCTAGGGCCTTTCTTTGGTAAAAAAATAAAATAAAAAGTTGCAAAATAAGGCCTGCACGGAGTGGACTTTTCAGTACGGTATTCATGTCTGCAAGTCACGCGAGACACACATTGGGCCCCTAACTCACTGGGCCCGTGATTTGCACCCCCTGCACGTGAGAGAGCCTCTCATGTATACATGCTTACCTAAGTTTTAAAGTGCAAATACTTATATACACCACCAAGGCTTCATTCCTAGCCTATGTGGAATTTTTGTAATTTTCAACCTATTTAACCATTCCAAGTGGCTTGCTTAGAGCATCAATTTTTCATTCACCCAATATTCATTTTGAGTGTGTGAATATCCGATTTCGATCTACTCGTGATGGAGAACGCAATTCCATCGACTCATCCCAAAAACCAATTGAGCCCATTCCAATATGGGCCTCAAAATGGGCCTTTAACATGGCTTATTAAGCCATTTTTCCAACCATATACGTGTACACACTTGTACAACATGGTCCAAAATTAGGAAAATCTAATTTCATGATCAGTGAGTTATGAAAGAAGGGTCTAGTAGGGGCGCATATATAAGTAGTGCATATTTTTTTATCTTTTATTGTTAAATTTGGTTCAAATCTCATCAAATTAAAAAAAATATATAGAACAGACAGTTTTTATATAAATTTGACGACTTAAAACCAAAATTTATTGGTAGTTTATTTTATTATTATTATTATTATTATTTTGGCCTTGTGAATGACTATTGATCCAAAACAAAAACAAATTAGCTGGTTAAAAAAAAAAAAAAAAAAAAAAAAAAAAAAACTAAATCTGTCCCGAGAAAACACACTTCATTGAAACCCGTTGTGTGTGTGTCAAGGACTTGAGGAGTCCATAATATGGCAAACATTTGTGGGCTTTTCTAGAAATCTCACAGCTGGACTTTCAAAGGGTCCATATATATGATCCAAATAAATTTTGGATCTAACATAAGGGTAGGTGTTGTCCAATGATTTGGTGACACTTCTGGATAACACAACTCCGAAGTATGAATAAAGATTGTGCTTTTAGTAGCAGCATAAAGAAAAAGAATAAGAAAAAGAAGGACATGGATATTTGTTCCCTAAATATACAAAAATACTTTTTCTCAAAATAAATAAATTATTATATATAGAGAAATTCCAGAGGTTCACACTGAATTTTACCGTAAAAACCGGATGGCGTGGCATGCATGTAACATAAGGTCACTCTCTACTGGTAAATGACAGTTTTGCCCCTTTGTTGCTTTTCGGAGGCTACTAAACATTTCTGTAGCCACTTTCAGTTCCAAAACTACTCAGTACGTTAGGGTTGTATTTATTATTACTATTATTATTATTATCATCATTATTATTATTTTTATTCACCCTTTTAGTAAGTGCAACAAATGCTGTCCAAAGACAAAACTTATCACTTATCAACCACATGACAAAATGGGCTCCATTAATGGCAGATTTTCCAGGGCTGAGGTAGGTAAACTGCAACCTTGACATCTCTAAAGTGTGTTCCTTTTCACTATTATTATTACACAAAACACTATCTGGGTTTCATGTCAAATGCCTCAACCAAGAAAAAGTGGTGTGCTGTTTAGGTACCCAGAGCAGTTGCAAATCTCAGTCAAAGTTGAGATTTTTTTTTTTCCTTCACATTGTTGACTAAACCCAATTGGGATTTCTTCTAATTCAAAGAAAGAGTAATAATTGTGCCCAATCTATTGCTTTTTGTTTAACTCAAATGTATGAGTTGGGTTTGATATCAGAAGAAGCAATAGTAATTTGGTGAGCATGTGCCTGTCTGTGATCTAAGAAAAAGCTGATAAAAAAGTGATGGTGAATTTAGTTTGCCACTATCCTAAAATGTCTTGGGTTCAATCTCAATCTCAAACCTGGCAGAAAAATGCCATCTTTACAAGCTCTTCTCTTTCTTCTTCTTCTTCGTCTCCTTCAATATCATATAACACTGATTACCAAAACCAACCAACTTCCTCACCATCATCCTCAGGCAGTAGTAAAATAAGCCCAGCAATTCTTATCATCATAATCATCTTAGCTGTTATTTTCTTCATATCTGGTCTTCTTCACTTGCTTGTTAGATTTCTCATGAAAAATAGGTCTTCTTCCTCAGTATCTGAATCAAACAGATACCCAGAAATGTCAGAGTCCAGTGCTTTCCAAAGACAGTTACAACAACTGTTCCATCTCCATGACTCAGGCCTGGATCAAGCCTTCATTGACGCCCTTCCTGTGTTCCTTTATAAAGAGATAATGGGCTTGAAAGAGCCATTTGATTGTGCAGTTTGCTTGTGTGAATTCACAGAACAAGACAAGCTGAGATTGCTCCCCTTGTGTAGTCATGCTTTTCACATTGATTGTATAGACACATGGTTACTGTCTAATTCAACTTGCCCTCTATGTAGAGGGACTTTGTACACTCCTGGACTTCCTATTGAGAACCCAGTTTTTTATTTTGAAGCTGATCATCCAAGTGAAGATGAATTTGGTCCCTCAGGAAATCCAGGAAATGGGGTTATTTCCATTGGTCAAAAGTCCTCAGAAAATAATATTCAGAAGAGGGTGTTTTCAGTCAGACTTGGCAAATTCAGAAGCATAAATGATGGGGCAGATGGGGGAGGAAGAGGAGGAGAGAGAGAAGGATTGGGAAGAGGAGAGAGAGAGAGAAGAGGAGAGACCACTAGTAGTAGCAGTAGTAGTTTGGATTCAAGGAGATGTTATTCAATGGGGTCATACCAATATGTGGTTGCTGATTCAGATTTGCAAGTACTGGCTTTAAGGCCAAAAAGAGAGAGCATTATTGGTGGTAATAACACTAACAGCCTAAGGATTGTGAAAGGAAGAAGTGGACCAAGTAGGAATTGCTTGGATAATGATGGAGATGCTGAGGCCAAGAAGATTAACATTGGAAGCAAAGGTGAGAGCTTTTCAGTTTCCAAAATATGGCAATGGTCTAGGAAGGGCAAATTTCCAACTTCTTTAGAACCCTATTTGAGCAGTACTAGTACTACTTCTTCTACTACCGTGGGACTGCCATTGACCGACAGATCTCCACCCACATGAATTGTATTTTTCTTCACCTCTTCAATGGAATTTGTTCTTCTTTTCTCAAAACAATTATTTTCTTTTGTTTTTCCTCTTATTTACATCACTTACACGCAATATTGCAGCTTCTTTGTATCATGTATCTTTCTAGTAAAGCCTTATGACAAGTGGGCAATGTACTTTATCTTTTGTTATGAAAAATTCCATGTATTAATGAGTTTCACAGTTGCTTTTTGCTTTGCTTTTCCTTTCCCCAGTCTAGAGCGCTATGCTTTGGTTGTTATGTGACTTTAATTCCAAAGACTAATATAAGCAGTTACTTTTGCCTGTGGCGTGAACATATTTCTAAGGCTGAAAATGATGAGATGGGGTAAAATGTCATATCTCCTCCGTGGGCGTGCATAGCTTTCGAACAATTTGTCCCATTTGAATTTGGGGCCTATCAAGCCATGTGATGTTTAGACAAATTAAACAAAGAATTAAATAAAGGGCACTTTTTTTATCTTATTTTCAAGAACTTTCTCTGGTAAGCATCTTTATTGGTTGTATTGATCATTAAATTTAATTAAAATTATATCAAATTAAATAAATACGTGAAATAGATAATTTTTAATATAAATTTAATAATTAAAAAATAAAAAATTATCAATAATTTATTTTTTTTAATCCCATTAAAAAAAAAAAACTTCCTTTTTTAAATAAAAAAAAAACGAAAGTGTTACTCTGATTACTGCGGAGTCATATCATAATGTCGCTTTTTTTGGGCCGCGCTGCTTTGGTTTCTCTAGAACTTTGCTTTTTTGCCCAAAAATAAAATTCGTTTCTTTCTTCTTTTGATCTTCTCATGGAATTCCTTCCTTTATTGGGTAGGACACAGTGGCGGGGTCCTGAAAAGGGATTAGAGAGACTCTTGTGAATGACGAGCCTTTTAATAACTTGTCATGTCAATGTTCATAGTAGGGTCATAGTACGAGTGGTCCTTCCTTCTTTGTATTGTCGCTTCTATTCTCCCTTGTAAGCGTTTTCCACAGCTTGAATGGGAAATCCCTAAAAATCTAAACTAGTTTTTATCTGAAGTATGGCCCTACGAGACTAAAAGTTGGGATGGGAAACACGCATAGAAGATACTATTTTGAAATGTAAGGTAACGGAATAGGAAATGATAAAAAATAGTGTTAAATTTGATGGCCGTGCAACAAATAAGAGTTTGAGTCCTGTATGTATTATTCAGATGAGATCTACATCTTATGTCTTGTAGTGATCGTTTCATTTATAGCAATTTCTGAAAGGATAGAATTCTGATGGCATCGATGTGTATTTTTAACGTGAAAACAAAGGTGACATTTATTCTCTGGAGACTTTGAGAAGAAAAAACTGTCGTTTGTGACAGAAAGATGGAGATTAGTTATAATTAAGACAAATTAGAGCAAGATATAATTAAAGGGTGGACCACTTAGGTAGGAGGCAGTTGGGGGTTTTGGGGAAGAGTGGATTTTTTTTTTTTTTTTTTTGAACTGAGGGTTGTTTGGTTTCTCACATCAGCGTTGGCAAGCATATAACCTGCCAAAATAGTTAGAATTGCTTCGCTGGAAACTCCCACACAAATCAAGTCAAGCATCGGTAGTTGGTAAGTCTAGAGATCATAATATTGAGTAAATTTAGAGACGTCAACTCCAATTTTAATTCATGTATCAACTGACGTGTGTTATTTTTTTATTAATATATACAATCATTTATCATTAATTGACGTGTCCATATTTGAGTACCTGTTAATATAAAAATGAAAACTTTATCATCATATCAATTGGTATACAAAAATTAAAATTGAGATTGGTGTTCATAATATTATCCATATTTATTTATTTCAACTTCGCAAAAAGCGGTGTCTGAAGTTAAAACATTATCAAGCACTACCCTCCTTTCCACGTTATTAAGGAGATGTGTTTGAATTGAGGAAACTAATCAACAGTCGATTTGTGTGCAAATCGCAGAGAATCCAAGGCCTTTGAGTGTTAATTGTGGACATAAAATATTTCATGAAAATGAAGACCGAAAAAACGGCCTCCATATCGAATGGCTTTGACTGATGATGTTGTAATTATGAATGTTGAAATTTGTTATGATTATATTACTTTTAAACAACAGAACGCAGAACAGCAAACACCATTAACTTTTGTGCAAGAGCCAGCTAACGACATGAGTACCAAATACATAAACATACTATAGATATTCAAAAGAGTTTTTATTATTAAAAAAATTATGTATATACCTACTCTAGATATTTAAAGCAGAGCTTCAAAATAGACAAGGAAACAGAGAGGAGACCGAGTCTAACACGGTTACACCAAAATGTACCATCTACATTTAAAAAAAATATACATATATATATACTGGTCATAAAATGGAGTACCGTAAACAAATAAAATGAACAAACAAATAATATAAACTTACATTTCATTGAGGGTAAATGGTACAGGATATAATATTGAACATACTATATGACTGATTTGCAATTCGATTAGAATCCAACTAAGAACCCAAACAGGCGGCCAAATCCAAACAAAAAAAAAAAGAAAGAGAAAAAATGGAGAAGCACCTCAAGTTCTCAATACAACGTATGAGCTCACTTCTCTTTGTGCGTTAAGGCAAAATTCAATTCCCACAATTCCATACGGGGATAATTTTTGTAGTAATATACATCAACCACCTAAAAGAGGAAGAAAAATGTAAAGAAAAGGTGAGAAGCCATAGGAAAGATCCCATACCCGAGAAAAATCAGGCTCAACTGTTACAAAATCTACCACCCAACAAAAGATCGCACGTCCACTGTAGATGGTTAGAAGAAAACGCCATCTTTAACTTAAATGTCCCTGAAGATCGCCAAGGCTCACAAACCACGCGGAAAATTGTTGATTTGTCCTTCCTCCAAAACATCTTTGTTGTTCATCTTGAAAGCAATCTTTATGCGCATGACAAGAGATTTCTGAAAACAAATGAATTTTGTAACTATCTTCTTTGCGGAAGAAAACAGAGAGAAAGGAGAGATTAAAGCAAACTAAATTACAAATTCATACTTCTCATATCATGTAATGTAAGTCTAAGGAACAGACCAAACTCAGGAATAGAATAAGTTACACTACTTCAGGTACCTTTCCATGTTGACTGTTAGTAACTTTCAAACTTTGTGTGATGGACCCATTACCACTTGCAGGTAATGTATTGCCACTTGCTGGATCTAAGTGCAGCTGGAGAAACTGTGGATTAAAAAAGCACCAAAAGATATCAGAAAACTGACATGATTAAGCCACAAAGTAGTTCGCGACAATTTCCTAGACCCCAATAGGGCAAATCTCATATGACTACTAACGCAATATAGAAATGTGATAGCATAGCACTTGTAGCTCTCCATCGCAATGCATAAGCATGCAATATTGATTATATGAAGGCTCAGGTTGTGAGGTTCTTAGAATCTCACCAAGATGAACAAATGAAATAACATATTTGTATAGCTAGCTACCATGTAATGGGATCGCAGTAGCCTCAAAAATGAAAAAAAAAAAAAAAAAAAAAGAAAAGAAAAAATATACCAGATATTACCTTTGGAACCGCTGCCTGGAAAATAAAATCTGTAAAGCTATCGGATGACAGATTTGTAAATGTAGCCTGAATTAATGTTGTTTGTGGGTTTCCAGGTGGCTTCGAAAAGTTGAACAATAGCTTCAACAAACTGCTCTCAAAAGCAACTATGGATGGAAAAGCTGAACCGTTGTTTTCTGTTTTATAGAGGGGAAAAAACAGGTTATCACTATAATGAAAAAGCTCTCTCAGCTGAAAGGACTTCAAATACTCCCAAAATTTTACCAGGGGTTGGTGGTTTGACTGCAAAGCCGTCCAATAAATCAATCACAGGAGTGGCTGGTGCAGATGGAGATAAGAGTCCATCTAGTGGCGCCACCGGTAATTTGTTATCTTGAACAGAGGATAATATATCTGATGTTGATAAGCTGCTTTGTGCAGGAGGGTCGCCAATAGACAAGAGATCCAAAAGTACATCGGTGCCATTTTGCAGAGCAGGCTTCATACCTAAACATATAGAAAGAGTTGCATAAGATATGCATGAGCTAAAATTAGATTGAAGAATCACCATTGAAGTAATGCAGAAAAATCCTCCATAAAGATTCACTTCTTAGTATCACCATATAGGATTAGATAATGAGAAGCTATGCATATCATTGCACAAAAGTGAAAAGGTTCATGAACATGGCATTCAAAACAAATCAGAAACGACAAATACATATATATATATATATATGTGTGTGTGTGTGTGTGTGTGTGTGTGTGTGTGTATTTGGATTTCATTATGAAGTTATGACGCAATGCATCCGAAGCTAACCAGGTTGATTTGGAGCTGGCGATAAATCAACGCCAAGAAGATCTTGAAGAAAATCAGCACCGCCACCACCGGTAGAGCTAGGCACAGCAGGAGTATCATCAGAACTTAGATCAAGCAAATCCACAAGAGGAGCCGCAGAAGGTTTGGAAACTCCATTTGGTATATTGATCGAAGTCGTCGTGGAAGTTGAAACAGTAGCTGGCATAGAACCAGCCCTCCTACCCATGAAAGTTGCCTCATCCAAAACTGGCATCCTTTCCACTAGCGCAGACCTGCATGCACTCCCCTTCATCAGCTTTCAAATATAAAAGCAACAAGAAGACCCTCTCTAACCACAAGAAGGGGGAAAAAAAAGAAAAAGGAATTTAAGAATGTGAAAGAGGAAGGATAGTTGTCTGAATTCATTAGGGAAAAAAAAAAAACATATACCTTATATTCTGATGCTTTGCAATAATAGAATTGAATTCAAGCGATCGTTGCTGCAATTCCAGCACAAGATTTCCTTTGTATTGAACAATTATATCTTTGATCCTCCTACAGATGGTATTCAAAGAACTATATGTAATTTCACACTAGAAGAGATGATAAAAGATCAACAAATTATTCCATCATTGTTAGCAACTGGAATGAGGGAAGCATAAAAACAGCACAAAAAGCCAAATATAGTTAATTAATGTCAACAAACAAAGCCATAAAACAATCAGAATACAGACACACATGGCCCAAGGACTTTATGCTCCCCAAGCACAAGAATCATAAGAAACAAATCTGGACAAATTTAGGGAAAAGAATTCAGTACTGAAACAGGAAGACAATATTTACATACTCTGAGCAAGATGGAAACCGTGAAGAAAGCTTTAACATAGCAATAAAAGCCATTGCTTTAGTGGTGAAATCTGAGGTATGGCGCTTAATTGCAATCTCTACAACATCCACAGCATCAGATTCAGTTACCTGCTCAAAAAAAATAAAATAAAATAAATCTTGGCGGAATACTGTCAAAGAAATCAATAGAAGATTACTTAAATGCAATGTTTGCTACCAAAAAACATGTTAGATTTAAATGTAGGCTCCCTCTTCATAAACATAAGCAAGAGGCGGATGCAAATTAAACAGCATGATGCAAGAAGTCAAACATCTAAAAATCACAAACACAAGAATCAAAATTGCGTCCGTATACTTGAGCTATCTTGATATTATTCTCTAATAAAATTCAAGAGAAAGAACTTTTCTGTTAACTGAATTATTAAGTTTCAGCATATGTCAAAGTTCTTAGACTCCATAGTAAGTTGCAATTCTTATAATAAACAAATATTTCCCAGAAACAAAATTAAAAATGAAAACTGAGAGCAAAATCATATAACGTGGTCCAGAGAAGCGTGCACTTACTGTTATTGGATCTTCAACGTCAAGCATGCCAACGTTGTTTACCAACATATCGCCATATTCTCCAATGCACCAAACTGCCACTCGAACAAGACTTTCCTGAATAAATGAAATAAAAACAAATAAAATCATATTCATGCCTGAATAATCAAAATAGTGGGAACAATCCGTTGGCCATTTGCAGTATGAAAGGGAGAGAAAATAATTGCTCACCTGCTCAGAAGTTTGGAATGCTCTATATAGTGCCCTAACAGTGTATCCGTGGAGATCAGAAGCATTGCTTATCACAACAATAAGGGCATGCCATACTTCATCTTTTACAAAATTTCCAGCCTACTAAGCATACAATAAAGATCAGTAGCTTCTTATCACTTGAAATAAAAAATACAACTAATTATGCTGAAAAATAAAGATCTCAGCAGCAGCCAAGAATAGCAAGAATTTGGGCGTGTGATGAGTCATATCTGCTCACACTAACAAGATACACAAAAAGGCAAACGTCTTAAAAGTGCTGTGCAAAGATTTCATAAATCATATGAAACGAATTAAGCAGAAAATATAGAAGGCATGCCATGGTATTGCAAAGGATTCTGGCCCTGGGCAATTAAAGCAAATCATGAACGATGAAAAACACCAGCTAATGTAAAGATTTGTACTGGATGTGCAAAAAGTTGGAACTTTATAAAAGTTGAAGTTGATTAGAACCTTGACAAGGCTCATTAAAAGACAACCGTTTAAAATAATAATCCATGCAGAGACATTGATAGAAACTAGCAGATGGCTCCAAAAATTTATAGGAGGATTTGAAAGCATCAATAGTAATTTAGTATTTAATAGCACATATGGCTTCAGTTAAAAATATAAAAAATATAAAAAAAAAATTGCACATATCGCACCAGTAGGAAGAACAATCACAAAATACCCCCTGTAGCTGCTCCAAAAAAGTTAATACACTAATTTGGATCAGACTATGAAATAAATCAAGATCGCCATAATTCTCTAAACACTACGCTAGACATAACTTTCTTTTAAATTTATACCTCTGTAAGAACCTTAAGCATCTGATCTATGTACCAAATCTTCTCCAGGGAAAACCTAAAGCAACAAAGTACAGATGTTAATCATCTAAGCTTTCTGTCAAATCAGTTTGTCGTTTTACATTACCAAACAATCCAACAGCACTGAACTACATTTGCATCCAACCAACTAAAATAGTAAATAAAAGAAGCCAGTTGCAGTAGAAATAGAACAAGTATTATCAATAGTAGTAAGTCCAAAAATAGAGAGACATGTCAACATTATGTTATATAGAACGGCTGTGTAGAAAACTAAAAATAAGCGAACTGGAATCGAAAGGACACAATAATTTTGATGGCAACAGGTACTAGGAAGAGCAAAAATTAGACAGCAGCAGTCCCACCACATTAGAAACCTCATAAGATCATTTCATTGCAAGAAATTAGTGAACAGCTACCTAACCAAGTAGAACCTAATGGAATGATCAACAAATCTTATATCATAGTAATAGCCTGCGCAAACAAGCAACTTTTGTTTCAGTTTCTTTCTTTCTTTTGAGGCAGTAACAACTTTAAGCCCAATGCATAGCATGTATTAAAAACCCAGTGTGTGATTTCCAAAGGAGAAAAGAGGCCACCTTCAAAAGCATGAAGTATGCAACTTACTTCGCTACAATGGAGCATATTTTTGCTGTGAGATCTCCCTTGAATTCTTGGTCACTTACTTCTAAATAATCAATTAACTCTTTTGTAAGAGGCTTCACATTGCTCTCGTTTACAAGAAGATAAACAAGTTCAAGAGCCCTTTTCCGAATAGAAGCATCTGAATCCTGAAGAAAAAAAATAAAAAATTCACAAACTTTTCAATCTATAGTTTTGTTTGCCAAAAGACTTGGTTCTTGTCATTGATTCAAGAGAAGAGTCAAAAGGTATAGATAAAAGCATCAGATTGCATGGAACATTGAGAATCATTTTAACTTCAGTTCATCTTTATGTGTAAAAGTATGTATTAGAATTTTAATTAACAACACAAGTTGAGATATACCAACAAATTAACAACACTAGTTGAAGATAGCAATAATGAAGTAATAAAAAAATAATAACATCTACCATTATAAACGTCAAAAAAAACATTTTAAACCAACAAATTAACAGAACATATCTAAGATAGCAAATCAGGAAATAACATTATAGAAATCATTTAACCAAAGTCTTGAATCCCCATATTCCTGTAGGTCACTGACCCCAAGCCACAAAATCGTAAGGATAAATCAAACTGTCTCCAAAAACAGAATTCTACTTGACCAAAAAAATGACAAAAGAAGTATAGAACTCCAAGGTCTTCCACGTAAAAAAGAAGGGGCAGTGATTTGTTTGTCCTCAAGCAAATAAACACGACCATGCAATACCTTCACACATTCCAAAATTGTTGCTCGATGCCTCTGTACAGCTTGAGCATCTACTGTAATAGCCTTCATCAGCATATTTAGTGCAACATATCTGTAGAAACAAGTGAGGTTTATATTTATGATACGACATGACACTTCCCTAACAACAGATTTTTAACAAATTCAACAAGTGTTATAAACTAAAATCCAAATATTGTTTCTTAAAAGACAATAAAACCATGCCCAAGGTAAGCACAATAAGGAACCTGATATTGTTGTCACGGTTTGATAAGAATCTTCCCAGGATGTTGATTGCAAGCACACGTAAGCCACCATTATCTTCAATGCTCATGATGGTTTCTACACATTCATATAGAATTGCATTGCCTGCATTTTTGTTCGACTCTGTTTTTGTTGCCACCTGAGAAATAATATACCAAGTCAGTGGAAAACAAAAGGGGTGCCTGGGGAGAAGCGAACTTTGACAATCATGATGCAATTAGTACAAATAATTATCATGAACATTGACCACTAGCCTCTAGAAACCAAAAGGTACAAAGGATCATATTGTATGAAAATTTATTTCATACACCCACGTAAAATGTACACAGAATTCACCAAAGCGCATTATCATTAAGCGACAGCTATCGGTAGAGGTTTGTTTTTTTTTTTTGCCCCCTTCTTTTTTTGTATAAGTATGTAATGCTGAAAAGTTAGCTAGCTAAGATCTTTTTTTCCTCTTTTCGTTATCTACATAAAATGAACCTTCCTAAATCCATGAATAAAAAGATTCGTACGTCCATTACTCATTACTCATTACTTTCACATGTGTACACAGACCAACCAACTGCCCCAAAATACACTCTCATACAAGAAAATAAAATTAAAAGGCTTATGAGAGTAATTTTATCATAATTAACCAAACTTATTGGAAAATTCACTGTTAATAATATTGGAAATTGTTTGACATACGCTATTGCAGAAGCATGAATTAAATGCATGCAATATGTGGGTCTCCAGAATGCTAAGCTTGGGAATGCAGTATGAGACATAGTAACATTATGAAAGAAATCACAGTTAAAAAAAATATACCGCAAATAATTGATGAACTTGACATAGTTAAGGAGCGAAAAGCTAATATATTACCTTGAATAATCCAAGTCTAAGGGAAAACATGAGATGGAACATGAGTAACGGCTAACCTGGGCAAGTATGTCATTCATGCAATCACTACTATCTGCATCTCCTTGGCCCAACACACGCAAAAGCTTTAGCAATCTGATATGCAGGAAAGGGTCTGTGATGCCGGCAATGTCATACTCAGGGGAATAAGGACTGTTCACAACATCCTTCAGAGTTTTGACCAAACCCTCTGTGCACTTCTACATTAACAGTTACGACATCTATTTAATTAAAAAAGACCAGGCACAAAAACCATGGTGACATAAACAACTCTGTAGGATCTATCCTTATTGTCAAATTATATGATTCAAACCCACAAATCTTACATATTTGAACAATGTAATCCCCAACTTTAAAAGTACAACTTCTATTCTTCGCTTGAGATTTTAGGACATAGGGTCCATAAAGTCAAGAATTCCAAGCAGGTACATATCCCACCAAGCCACCCCCAAAATAAAATAAAACAAAAAACGCCGGGCAAAACCCATGTATGCGAATAGATGCCTTATATGTAGACCACTGGAAAACTAACCAAAGCTTTCACCCAATAACATCAACTCCACAAGAAAAATTGAAAAAGTTAATATCTTGCAGAGAAAGTTTAAACCTTCTACAATCTTTTCCAAAAAGCACTACAGATCATAGTCAAGTTACCTTTCTAAAATATTCAAGGGCTTCCGCACTGACTTTACATAAATCTGTACAAAGTTGAATTCCTGTGATTAAAACACCATGATGCTTTTCTTTTAGTAAGGAAGCAGCAGGGTTTATAAAATTTTCTGCCAAGTCTGGGACTTTCTTTATTATCCGTATAGAGCATAATGCTGCCTGACAATAAACAGCGAGCGTTGATCAGCTTGAAAGTCCAATTGTTAAGGACAGCCCATCGGAAAATAAAAGAGAAATATCAAACTGTTAAACACTACACATACGACGAAAAGAGACAAAAAAAGATTTCATGTAAAAGTTTTCCAAAAAAAATCCAAATACCAATTTCTTTTTTTTTTTTTTTTTTTTTTTGATAAGAAACAAGAATTTTATTAATAATGAAAATAAAAACACTAGAGCACAAAGGGGTCCTCAAACCAAACAAAATAGTTAAAAGCAAAAGTACTTAACAAACAAAAACCACAAAAACTACAACAGGGACAACATAACTATAACAAAATTAAGTCCCATCCCCTGAGGAGATCCAAGAATGAAAAAGCCTTGAATTCTCTATCTTGCAAAGTCCACAATGCCACCCAGTAAATTATGCGATCCCAGACATCACTAACATCCCCCTCAACTCCATCAAAGATACGATTATTCCTTTCCAACCACAACGCCCAAAGAGAAGCTAAGATTACTGTGTTCCATAACTGATTAGTTCTCTTATTCCAATCACCCGAAACATCAACACCCATTAGATCAGGAACACTTCTTGGAAAAGCCCACTGTAAACAGAACTCCCCTATAATTTTACACCATATCTTCGAAGAAAAAGAGCAATGGAGGAACAAGTGATCCGATGTCTCATTATTGTTCATTATCGTTCCTGCATAGCACACACCATCCCGGGGAAATGGAAAGGAATGGCTTCCTCTTTTGCAACAAACCTTGCGTATTCAATTTACAAAGTGAAAGTAACCAACCAAAAACCTGAATTTTTGTAGGAACCGAGATTTTCCAAACAAAATGATAAAGAGGGAAGGCCAGAAAAGATTGGTTATCAACTAAAGAATTGAAAAGGGACTTACCATCTATCCTCTAAACTAGCACAGACCCTCACCCCCTCCAAACAAGAGATCAGGTCCACACCTCACCCAACTCTCTCTCACTAGGATTCCTCCTAAAGTAATTCCAAGAAACAGTAGAATCATTTCCTACGGTATAAAATGACTAAATGGGCTGATTATGAAGGGTTGACAGTCTAAAAAGGTATGGGAGAAGAACAGCAAAAGACTCTTCACCGGCTCACCCATCTTCCCAAAACCTCATCCTCTTACCATCCCCTATATTCAAAATCGCATGGGACCAAAACAAAGAACACAGGGACTGAATGGCTTTCCATGGACACCATATAGTCACCCTAGAACAATCTCCGGATACCCAACCACCAAAAACAGTACCATATTTGCTTTTAATGACACTATGCCAAAAAAAACCCACCTCCTTAGAATATCAATTACAATTAAATACTTGATGTAATCCTTTATTCTTGGCAAAGAAAACGCGGCAACGAAGCAAAAGCAAGCTAAGTCAAAAATTCAGATAGGATGGAATCAATCTACTACGCAAGAATTTTGAGATTAACATGCATCTAACATCTTTAATGCTTTTAATTTCAGTTTTGTGCCGCACATATGTCTGACAGTTGTTCTGCTTTCAAAAAAAAAAACAAAAACAAAAAAAACAAATTATGAAAAGCTTTTTACACCTGTTATACATGGAATAATTAATCACTCATTGTGAAAATTTAAAATACTAAAGGTCAATAGGTCATGAATTATGATCCATGGGTAGCTGCTAAAAAGTTACAATTTTTCAGCAAGGCCATCCAGATAAATGTTAACTTCAGGTAATCTAAGGTTCCTCCAGTCCCCTTTCCTCAATATCATATTTGTACAACATATATGTGAAATAATTGTTCTGCGTAGAAAAAACAAAGGAAATATATATACATGCATGTATATATAATAAAGAACACGTTACACCTTTTGAGGGTGCAATAATTCAACACTCGTTGTGAGAAATTAAAATACTGAAGGTCAGTAAGTCATGAGTTATGACATTGCTGCTGATAAAGTACTGTTTTCACCAGGGCCATTACTGATAATTGCTAACTTCATGGTAACTAAGGCCCCGTTCATTTCACCGATTCGAGTTTAGAATTCGAGTTTTGCTACAGTAAAAAGCTCTCAGAAACAATGACATCTAACTTTTTTGCTACAGTAAAAAGTTCTCCCATAAAGTCACATCTCAACTCGAATCAGCGAACTAAATAGGCCCTAATGTTCCTCCAGTCCCCATTCCAACCCTTTGCTGTTAAGTTTAAAAAACAAACGACGCATAACACATGTTCCAAGAGAAATGAAATGTTGGGATAGCAGGTCATGGCATCGAAAATTCGAGAAACTTACTTTCTTCCTGATGTTTGGATCTCGGAATTGCAGCAACCTTTCTACCTCTGGTGCAAGATCACGAGCCATTTCTGCAGAGCAAATATTTCCCAGAGCACAGAGAGCGAGTCCAACAATGTACTGGTTTGAGTGATTAAGATCTCTGAAATATAAGTTAAGGTTGCCAAGAAAAAAAAAAAAGGGCAACGACTGCCAACAAAAAATAAAAAACAGAATTTCCCCTTTTGATATTTTTTTGTAAATGCCACAAGAAGAATCAATTCATTTAATTGAAGTTTGGATGAGAGAAGGCGAGATCAAGAATGAAAAGATAGGAACTCTTTTATATTTATTTTTATTTTCTAAATAAAAAGGTCAACAAAAAGCAGGATACTGTTTTAACGAGTTTGTGACCAGCATAAGAACTTCTTGTCTTTCATCAAGGAGCAACATAAGCCCAAGATAACCAATCCTCTTTTCAGGAAAACCAGCAGATGCTATCAACTTCAAGCACTCCATTTGACCAAAATGTGTTGGGTACCCAAGCATGTGAATGAACATGAGCTTAGCCAGGTTACGATGTCGATAATCTTGATCATTTTCATTAATTGAAGCACGAATAGCAGCGCTCTCTTTCCGCACGACAGCACGTTCCTCTGCTGCTGTTTTGCAAGCACGTATGGCTCGAATCATGTCCCTACATCAGAACAGTAAGGTCGTATAAAGAAAAATCCATGATAGGTTATCTAGAAAAAAAGATCTAAATGGAATATGACATATGGTTGGATTTCAATATTGCTCCTTGCACGGCCTAAGAAACACACACACGTGCACACTTCTAGCAAAGAGTTTCCTACTGAGACCTAGGACTTCCATCAAACCTCTTCTAGCTTTATTGCAACATTGATTTGTAGTATTCATGCATGCGAGTATGAAAAAATTCCAATAGCAAGAGATATCATAGGTTTAAGCACGTAAAGAGATGATCTTCCTTAAACACTTTTAAGAAAATGCAAGGTGCCAATACAAAACTCACTTGTCTAAATTGCCGAAAAGACTGGGAAACAAATCTTCCAATAGAAGATAAGCTCACCAACCAATAGACTATTTCCTAGAATCACTACATGAAACTGAAACCCCAAATGGCTGATTGTGCAGCTATAGCATATGGTAGTTTTTTAAATGAATCTGAAACCAAAAATGGCAGAATGTTCAGCTGTAACCTATAGTATTCTTTTTATGAAGCATAAAAGCTGGTATTCAAAATAGCTCAAAATTTTATCATTGGAGAGTCGAGGAACTTTTTTTTCACTAGAAAGTCAGAAGGAACTTGAAAATAGACATGTAGCTCGCAAAAGAATGAATTCAGGAGCATGAATTCAGGAGCCTAGTTACTGCACAAATTATCTTAGCGTTCGTAATTTGCAACGTTCTATGGGAGAAGTTCAGCATTAATAAACTTAATGCACCATGCGGTTTCAGGTATAAACCAGCAAGTTCAAATCTCCTACCCCAAGTTCAAAAATAAACTCAATGCACCACTAACACTACATGAACCATTAAAAAGTCTTGGAAGGATAATTCTAATCTCCTCCCACAAGTACGTCAGACAGAGAGTAGATAAAAACATCACAGTTTACAATCGAACACATTCAAAGAATCATTCAAATCACCACATGCCTATAACGTTACTTCATTCATTCTTCCAACACTATCTTCCAGAATTGCGACAAAAACCCACCTAATTCGATAAAATTAACCCAAGGCACATTTCATCCAATTCAGCTACGTCCTTCCTTAATCATCAAAATTATTAAATCAAACAGCTTCAATAACCACGAATCAAAATCCAATTAAGGAAATGCGTATATACGCGAACTAATCCTAAATCAAATCATAAACCACTCCGAACATACTCAACTTACAGCGACAAACCTCCAGAATTCCAATATGCAACCAAATTCGATAAAATTAAACTCATATACATACACAAATATGCTCTTTCACAGAAATATCCAAACGATCTGATAACATTTGAAGTAATTGCTTAGAGAGCTTACCGCAAGCGGGTTCCAGAAGAGAACGGGTTCATGGCTAAGTCCGTGGTGAAGCTCCGAGAAAGCTCGAATCAGATCCGAATGAGGAACACGAACCCAGGCCTCAGCGATCAATTCGTAGGTTGACGATTTCAGATTCAACGGCAAAGGAATTACCGAGTCTGAATTGCAAATCCGAGATCCAAACAGGATTTCCGAGAGATCTGTAGAGAGAGAGTTGAAGATGGAAGAGAGATTTTGGATCTGAGAGAAAGAAAGAGAATGAGAGAGTGGAGTTTCGCTTCGGAGGGCCTGTCCTTCCACTTGCGAAGAAATGCTCGTCTTTCTTTTCGTTTCTTTTCTTTCTTTCTTTCTTTTTTTTTTCCTAGTAAACCAAACAAAATTAATTTAATTTAATAAAAATCATAAACAAAACGAGGAAAATGGCACTGTGAATTCTCTGCCGGTAATGATAGCGTCACGGGCTGTAACCATCTGCGGAGCTCACCGTAGAGTATGATTGGATTAGAGTTACACGTATATACGAAATTGTATAGGATTGTTCGACTGTCGTGGATAGTGCAGGAACTTCGGGTCGGCGGGCCGCCCGAAGCCCGAATTTTTGAATTTTGCCCGAATTTTTCCCGCCTGCCCGACTTGCCCGACCCGCCCGAGATTTGGGGGCCGCCCGCCCGAGCCCGAATTTCACCTGGAATGGGCCGCGGGCTTGTATTCGGCGGCCCAAGCCCGCCCGAATTGCCCGACCCGAAGCCCGAATTTTTGAATTTTGCCCGAATTTTTCCCGCCTGCCCGACTTGCCCGACCCGCCCGAGATTTGGGGGCCGCCCGCCCGAGCCCGAATTTCACCTGGAATGGGCCGCGGGCTTGTATTCGGCGGCCCAAGCCCGCCCGAATTGCCCGACCCGAAGCCCGAATTTTTGAATTTTGCCCGAATTTTTCCCGCCTGCCCGACTTGCCCGACCCGCCCGAGATTTGGGGGCCGCCCGCCCGAGCCCGAATTTCACCTGGAATGGGCCGCGGGCTTGTATTCGGCGGCCCAAGCCCGCCCGAATTGCCCGACCCGAAGCCCGAATTTTTGAATTTTGCCCGAATTTTTCCCGCCTGCCCGACTTGCCCGACCCGCCCGAGATTTGGGGGCCGCCCGCCCGAGCCCGAATTTCACCTGGAATGGGCCGCGGGCTTGTATTCGGCGGCCCAAGCCCGCCCGAATTGCCCGACCCGAAGCCCGAATTTTTGAATTTTGCCCGAATTTTTCCCGCCTGCCCGACTTGCCCGACCCGCCCGAGATTTGGGGGCCGCCCGCCCGAGCCCGAATTTCACCTGGAATGGGCCGCGGGCTTGTATTCGGCGGCCCAAGCCCGCCCGAATTGCCCGACCCGAAGCCCGAATTTTTGAATTTTGCCCGAATTTTTCCCGCCTGCCCGACTTGCCCGACCCGCCCGAGATTTGGGGGCCGCCCGCCCGAGCCCGAATTTCACCTGGAATGGGCCGCGGGCTTGTATTCGGCGGCCCAAGCCCGCCCGAATTGCCCGACCCGAAGCCCGAATTTTTGAATTTTGCCCGAATTTTTCCCGCCTGCCCGACTTGCCCGACCCGCCCGAGATTTGGGGGCCGCCCGCCCGAGCCCGAATTTCACCTGGAATGGGCCGCGGGCTTGTATTCGGCGGCCCAAGCCCGCCCGAATTGCCCGACCCGAAGCCCGAATTTTTGAATTTTGCCCGAATTTTTCCCGCCTGCCCGACTTGCCCGACCCGCCCGAGATTTGGGGGCCGCCCGCCCGAGCCCGAATTTCACCTGGAATGGGCCGCGGGCTTGTATTCGGCGGCCCAAGCCCGCCCGAATTGCCCGACCCGAAGCCCGAATTTTTGAATTTTGCCCGAATTTTTCCCGCCTGCCCGACTTGCCCGACCCGCCCGAGATTTGGGGGCCGCCCGCCCGAGCCCGAATTTCACCTGGAATGGGCCGCGGGCTTGTATTCGGCGGCCCAAGCCCGCCCGAATTGCCCGACCCGAAGCCCGAATTTTTGAATTTTGCCCGAATTTTTCCCGCCTGCCCGACTTGCCCGACCCGCCCGAGATTTGGGGGCCGCCCGCCCGAGCCCGAATTTCACCTGGAATGGGCCGCGGGCTTGTATTCGGCGGCCCAAGCCCGCCCGAATTGCCCGACCCGAAGCCCGAATTTTTGAATTTTGCCCGAATTTTTCCCGCCTGCCCGACTTGCCCGACCCGCCCGAGATTTGGGGGCCGCCCGCCCGAGCCCGAATTTCACCTGGAATGGGCCGCGGGCTTGTATTCGGCGGCCCAAGCCCGCCCGAATTGCCCGACCCGAAGCCCGAATTTTTGAATTTTGCCCGAATTTTTCCCGCCTGCCCGACTTGCCCGACCCGCCCGAGATTTGGGGGCCGCCCGCCCGAGCCCGAATTTCACCTGGAATGGGCCGCGGGCTTGTATTCGGCGGCCCAAGCCCGCCCGAATTGCCCGACCCGAAGCCCGAATTTTTGAATTTTGCCCGAATTTTTCCCGCCTGCCCGACTTGCCCGACCCGCCCGAGATTTGGGGGCCGCCCGCCCGAGCCCGAATTTCACCTGGAATGGGCCGCGGGCTTGTATTCGGCGGCCCAAGCCCGCCCGAATTGCCCGACCCGAAGCCCGAATTTTTGAATTTTGCCCGAATTTTTCCCGCCTGCCCGACTTGCCCGACCCGCCCGAGATTTGGGGGCCGCCCGCCCGAGCCCGAATTTCACCTGGAATGGGCCGCGGGCTTGTATTCGGCGGCCCAAGCCCGCCCGAATTGCCCGACCCGAAGCCCGAATTTTTGAATTTTGCCCGAATTTTTCCCGCCTGCCCGACTTGCCCGACCCGCCCGAGATTTGGGGGCCGCCCGCCCGAGCCCGAATTTCACCTGGAATGGGCCGCGGGCTTGTATTCGGCGGCCCAAGCCCGCCCGAATTGCCCGACCCGAAGCCCGAATTTTTGAATTTTGCCCGAATTTTTCCCGCCTGCCCGACTTGCCCGACCCGCCCGAGATTTGGGGGCCGCCCGCCCGAGCCCGAATTTCACCTGGAATGGGCCGCGGGCTTGTATTCGGCGGCCCAAGCCCGCCCGAATTGCCCGACCCGAAGCCCGAATTTTTGAATTTTGCCCGAATTTTTCCCGCCTGCCCGACTTGCCCGACCCGCCCGAGATTTGGGGGCCGCCCGCCCGAGCCCGAATTTCACCTGGAATGGGCCGCGGGCTTGTATTCGGCGGCCCAAGCCCGCCCGAATTGCCCGACCCGAAGCCCGAATTTTTGAATTTTGCCCGAATTTTTCCCGCCTGCCCGACTTGCCCGACCCGCCCGAGATTTGGGGGCCGCCCGCCCGAGCCCGAATTTCACCTGGAATGGGCCGCGGGCTTGTATTCGGCGGCCCAAGCCCGCCCGAATTGCCCGACCCGAAGCCCGAATTTTTGAATTTTGCCCGAATTTTTCCCGCCTGCCCGACTTGCCCGACCCGCCCGAGATTTGGGGGCCGCCCGCCCGAGCCCGAATTTCACCTGGAATGGGCCGCGGGCTTGTATTCGGCGGCCCAAGCCCGCCCGAATTGCCCGATTTGCCCGAAAACGGCTAGTTTTTTGAAATTCGGGTTCGGGCAGTCGGGCAAACTCGGGCAGCTCGGGTTTTCGGGCAAAATTCAAAAATTCGGGCTTCGGGTCGGGCAATTCGGGCACACCTAATTTTCGGGCAATTTTTGGGTCGGGCAGTTCGGGTTTGGTCGGAAAAATGCAAAAAAATCCCGGCGGACGGCGGTATACGGTGGTTAGACGGCGGCGGGCAAGGGTGGACCTGTCACATCCGGGCTGCCCGAACCCGAACCCGAATTTCAAAAAACTAGCCGTTTTCGGGTATTCGGGTAATTCGGGCACCTCGGGCGGGTCGGGGTCGGGCTCGGGCAAATCCTCGGGCTTTTCGGGCGGTCGCGGGCGGCCCGTTCAAAGTTTCAGCACTAGACTCGTGGACCTCGTGGTCCAAAAACAAAATCAGATTGGTCATTCAAAGCATGTGCCTCACCCAAGATGAGTACGTTATTTTTTGATTTTTTTTTGTCATTAATTACGATTCAAGCAAAAAATAAATTAATTATTTTAGTTACCGGGAATCTCTTGTAAGCTGGACGTCAATTTTTTAAACAAATAACTTTCAACAAAAAATCAAATTAAAAAAATAATTTTCCACAAAAAAAATCAAATTAGCTTTGATCGACGTTAACCGTTTCAATAAATTGGATCAAATTTGAGTTATGTTACCGTTTAATTCGTTAATTTGAATTTTTAAGTTGAATTGAGATATAATATAGCTTTTTACTGTAACAATAAAATTAGATGTAATTATTTATGAGAGTTTTTTACTGTAATACAATTCAAATTTTAAATTCGAATCGGTGAAATGAACAGAGTGTCATGAGGTGAATTGTCATTGAAAGATGTTTGGTTCATGAATTATAACCGTGTGATTAGAATTATTTTTAATTTATGTATATTTTTTATGAGAAAAAATACTGTAGCAAACCACGAATCATAATTCGAATGAAAATCTTTTCAAATTCACTCCAATTTAAGATACAATTTTGTGTATCAAACTCGCTAACCCACTCCTGCTCTAGCCTGTCAAATGGGGCCATGTCATCACCTATTCGGTCCTAAACACCTATTGCCTTCTCTGACGACCAAGTTCATTTTTTAATTATAAACTTTCTCACTATGTTTATGCTATATTGCTATATGAATTATAATGCTATATCAATTATTGGGGTAAGTGATTTTTTTTTCTTATTCTTGCGCAACTTCACTACTAGCCTTTATCGGACCATATAGATCAAATTCTAACCTTTGAATGTGCCCTTTAGAGTATGTTTAGTAGGAAAGAAAAGTAAAAAGAAGGAAGAAGGTGGAGGGATTTTGGGAGGAAAAATGAGAATGCAGGTTGTTTGGTAGGAGAGAAAAGAAGAGAAAATGGAGTGAAAAATAATACATGTGAGTCTCACCATTTTTTTTCTTTCCACAAGTGGGCAGAAAATGAGATGAAAAATGGGAACAACTCATTAAAGTGAACAAAGTTACTAAACTATCATTTTCTCCATCAACATCCAAGCAAAAAATTTAAGGGTATAAAAGTAATTTACAAGTGAGATTTTTTCTTTCCTCCCAATTTAACTTCTATTACCAAACAAGTGAAGGTAAGCTCATTTTCTTTCCATCTTCTCATACCAAACAACATAAAAGTAAATCAATCTCCTTTCCATCATTGCTATTTTCCATTACTTTCATATTTCCTTTCTATCTTATTTTCTTTCCTTCCTACCAAACATAACA